ATATGGCCAGATGATGGGGCGTGCGGCGGCAGGCGGGCGGTTGAAGCCGTTCGTGTATGTGTGTGTCTGTGTGTGTGTATTGTATGTGCGTGTGCGTGACAAATTTTTTTTGTTTTTTTGTTTTTTTTTGTTTTTTNGAGAATTAGACATTTTGTAGGGGTTTTTGTGCAATTTCAGAAATTTTATTATATGGTATTTTAATAGTGAGACGGTTTTGTAATTTATCAAAAGTTTAATATATCACACATTAAAACTACATTATGTGCACAATATTTCGAATTCACAAGCACATTATAAAAACCATTACATTTTTACAAAATTAAATAATTATTAATTGGTCAGATCATCGATCGGCCTGGTTTAATCGTTCGAGAGGGCGTCAAAACCGGAATAATAGAAATAAATATTATTTGTATTATATAAATATAATTAGTGTTGTAATATTTGTTGATTTAATAATTTATATTGTGTTTTTTTTATTTAGAAACGTAATATTCTATATAAACAAAATATAATGTGCAATATAGCAGCTAATTAATGTGCGAATCATCTAATACAACAGTGCACTGTGCCGGCCTGTATTATGCATATTGATTTGAACAAAATCTTGTCCCAAATAAAATTAAAACCAAACTGAATTATTTGGTTTATTTTGCTCGGTTAACCGAAATATCTTAAATAATCGAAATAATTTATTATTTATGTTAAAATTACATTTAATATGTTACTTGACAGAAACTAGGGGAAAACGGGTACGATCCCACTAACATGAAGCGCACCATGACAGGGGTAAGCCCATATGAAGCCCAAATAGGGTTCCATCCCAAAACTAATTGGTGGAAGGAGAAGTAGTCCATTAGACTTATGAGGTGAGTCTATTTTCCATGTATAAACGATGTGGGACAACTCACAAGTGATATTCTAACACGCCCCCTCCCTTGTGAGTTGTCCCACGTCGTTTATACATGGAAAATATGTCTAACTTATAAACCTAGTGGGCTCATCCTCCTACAACCAGTTGGTTTTGGGATGGAAACTCACTAGGGTACCTAAACTTTGATGTATGCAGATATGTAGATGTATGCTTTCCTAAACTTTGATTACTTTTTACATCCTTGTTTTGATTGCAAAGCACAAAAAGGTGCTCAGTGTTCCCACATTCGTTTGACCAGTTTGGGATTAGCAATAACAACTTTTCGCAAAAAGGAAAAAAGCAACAATACTTGATCAGCACATTACGTGAAACACAGGAGAAACTTGGAAGGAAGGAGACAAATAAAGCAAAACAAGTTGTGATTGTTTATACGGTGTAACGTAGAAATCAAATTTGAGAGCTGACCTTTGAGAGATATTTGAGAACCAATTAACGTTCCCATAATAACCTGTGGAAGATATCTTCACATGCATCAAGAGGACCCTTAAATTAATATTCTCTACCGACTAATTCCTAATTTAAAGGGTACACTACACTATCCACATCCAGCAATTAGACACGCATGCCTACCTATAAAAAGAGCACAACTTAATTTGATCATATATTCATTCAACCTTGAAAAGAATAAAAAACACAAACAAAAAAGCTCGATTACATAATTCATTATGGGTCGGCTATTTTTATCAGGCCTATTATTTGTGTTGATGCTGGCCAGCATGTCCCAAGGAGTCCCTCAAAGCCAAAGGCCGAGGAGAGTGAGATGTCGGGACAAGAGAAACTTCCCCGAGTGCTACAAGAGGGCTGATCTCTTTTGCCCGGCCGCCTGCCCACGAAATTGTTATGTCAACTGCTCGTCTTGCCAGACTTCATGCACTCCTCCACCTCCACCTCCTCCTCCTCCACCTCGTCCAGTCAGGCCTCACAGGGTGAAGTGCCATGATCCCAACTACCGTAGGACATGCAATCACGCTCTCCTATGCCCTGCTGCCTGCCCCAAGACCTGCGCCGTCGATTGCACCACCTGTCAGCCTGTCTGTTCACTTCCAGTTTACAATCTTCCTCCGCCACCCCCATCACCAGTGGTTGTAACTCCCAGTCCACCACCACTCACAAACTCAACGCCTCCGGCAACTGCAATCCCACCGCCTTCGGATAGCTCTGAGGCTGCCGGCGGAAGAAGGGTTCGTTGCAGGAACAGATCGTATCCGAGTTGTTATTACAGGGAGCACCGCTGTCCTGCAGCCTGTCCCACTACATGTGAGGTTGATTGTGTCACTTGCAGCCCTGCGTGCAGTAAGTTTTCTTCTTTTTCAATATAAACCTACACAAATAATGAAAAATCATTTTGGAACACTTCTTGTAGACTATTATTTGTTGGAATATCACTTGTGAGTCGTCTCACATTGATTTGATAAGGTAAATGAGCCTAATTTATAAGCTTAACAGACTATTCTTCCCATCACCAATTGATTTTGGGATGGAACCTCACTAAGTTGCACCTAGGCTCACCCTATGGTGCGCCTGCACATCTACTTCCACTGATTATCAAAATTTGACATTATTAACTCTTATCATTCATAAACCGGCGTGCAGGCTGCAACAGGCCCGGAGCGGTTTGCCAAGACCCAAGATTCATAGGAGCCGATGGCATCACTTTCTACTTCCACGGCCAAAAGGACAGAAACTTCTGCATTGTCTCCGACACTAACCTACACATCAACGCACACTTGATAGGGAAAAGAAACCACGAGATGGGTCGTGACTTTACGTGGGTCCAATCCCTTGGCATCCTCTTCAAAACACACCAAATCCTCATAGGCGCCAAAAAAACGGCCACCTGGGACGATGCAGTCGACCGCCTCATTGTCTCATACGATGGGACATCCATATTGCTAGCCGAGCAGGAAGGGGCCAAATGGGAATCAAATTCATCACCAAATGTAGTTATCACACGATCGCGCGATACCAATGCAGTCGTGGTTGAGGTCGAGGGCAATTTCGAAATAAAGGCCTCGGTCGTGCCTATTACAGAGAAGGAGTCGAGAGTCCACAATTACGGGATCACAAGCGAGGACTGCTTTGCGCATCTCGACTTGGGATTCAAATTTTACTCGTTGAATGATGATGTCAGCGGGGTTCTGGGGCAGACGTACGCAAAGGACTACGTGAGTAGGGTGAAGATGGGAGTTGACATGCCGGTTTTGGGGGGAAATGTGGAATTTGCTACTTCAGGTATCTTCTCAACCGATTGTGCTGTTGCTAGGTTCAAGGGAATGGAGTCGGGTGATTTGAATGATTTCGGGTACACAAATTTGAGGTGCAAGAGCGGCCTTGACGGACGTGGAGTGGTTTGCAAGAGATGAATAAAATAAAAACTAAAATAATTGGGTTTACGTGAAATGTCTATTGTTTTGTTCTCTTTGTTTTCATATGTAATAAGGGCGGTAACACCAATTAATTTTTCTGCCCAGGTCAAGCAATCAAGATATGTATTATTAGTTCTAGCTGAAACTTAACCTTATTTATATCTGCACTTGTGACATGTCTGTCATGTAGCAGAAACTGAAACTTATTAATCTCTATACTTGTAATTAGTCTTTCCATGTGTGAATCTAAACAGAAAATAAAAAGTGTCCCGAGTCGGGATGTTTTTCTTTAGTTTCCTAGTGGATGGAATAATTTTGCAATCGGCATCATAAATTATAAGTTAGGAGGTGAATAAAAGAAACCCCTCAAGTTAGGTCTGATTAGGAAAAATAAACCTGGCAAATTGCAATGAAACTCCTTTAGGTTTGAATACGTATCAAATCAACTCTTCATATGCAAAAAAAATATTCAGACTAGTAATTATATATCGACAGAAATTGGGGAAAAACGGGTGCGGTCCCACTAACATGAAGCGCACCATGACAGGGCAAGGGAAAGCCCATATGAAACTCAAAATGGGGTTCCATCCCAAAACAAATTGATGGAAGAAGGAGTAGCCCATTAGTCTTATAAAGTGGATTTATTTTTCATGTATAAATAATGTGAGACAACTCACAAGTGATATTCTAACATATATTTCAATGAAGGTTCATAGAATGAGCAAAAACATTAACAAGAGTAATTAAAATGGAATTTTCTTCTGGATGTTGTATGGTAAACTATTATAGTTAATTTAATATTTTATGTCATTTTCTTTATAATTTCTTTACACAATGATAGACATCAATAAACTTAATCAGTTTTATGGTATATAGGAATTAAAAGTTCCGGACATTGATAATGTTTTTTTCCCCGAAATGGCCCAAGAATAACTAAAGGCAGGTTTAATGGCCCATTTCCTTGAGACAAGTAAAGGCCTTATACAATTCTTTTTTGTGGCAGAATTACTTCTCCTGCCATTCCCCTAAACTCTCCTAAACTGAGGTAAGTTTCAATTTAAATTGATTGTATCTCATATCTATCCGTCGAACCCGTTTTCCTCTTCTCTCAACTTCATTGCTTTTAAATTAAAAAACCCGTGCATGTGAATAGTAGAAGGTGAGGGAGTGAAACATATACTTTGTGTATTCTCAGAAATAGAAATCTTCGACTCCCGTGGTCATGACTGCGTATTAGTAAAGTGTCAAGGCCTTGGGCAGATATCCACCCAACAGATAATATATAAATATTTTTACGGCTCAAATTGATTGCATGTAATTACAAAACATGGTAATATTATTTGTATTCAGCCAGAATTTACACTATGTGGACAGCATATTCCATTCCAAATTGGAATACTAGTATAATCATTTTGGTTTAATATTTAACTAAGAAGCAATTACCTCAATTAAATTTGATTTTGAGGAACACATAAATGGATATTTCATTATTAAGCAATTCTGTGTACACAAATACAACCAAAATTTGGAACCACGTAGCCACACAAGAGAACATAACTTCGTGGATACTTATTATTGTCTTTCTATGTACAACTGGACACTAAAACATCTAATCAGAATTGAGAAGTACCTGCACTCAAATCTCAAAACCCTCAGTAACCAACCAAGCACACACAAAAAGCATATTATCACACTAACCTTCATTCATTCGATGCATTTAACCTGAGGCACTCCTTAACCATCTCCAACACCCTCCTTTTCAAGAGCCCATACTTCACGCCAGCATGCATGTCCCTATAAAACATCTCCAAACAAACGAGTCCCCTTTCGTCCAAAGAATCCACCATTCTCTCCCACTCCTTTGCAATATCAAACACGCCCGACTCGATAGGAATCTCATCAGCCTCCCAAAAATCAAGCCATGAAGAACACTCGCGTATCTCTCCACAACCAAAAGTCTCGACTCGAGAATCTTCACCCTATAAATCTCCACACCCCCCTCCAAACCCTTTTCTCTGTTATTCCCATTGCCAATATCATCATCATTGCCGATTGGCGGCCACAACACTGGCATAGGCGAGTACGAGTCATCCGTCCTTCCGCTACAGAAAACATTATGAAAATGTTATACAAGATCAAGACATTTGTCAATTTTTGGAAAGCTACTGCAAATAATTACTAGTTACGTGCCCGAATTAAAGAGACACCACCGTATCTGAGTAATCCATCGCTCTTCTGTGCCCGAATGCGTCATACAAATCCTGCAAAAACCTCATCGTGGTATTCGCAGTCCACTCTCCCCCCAGTTAATCTTGCGCTTTAGCGCAAACACAAATAACGTGGTCAGACCTGAAAACATGAAATGATTGAGGATGGAGTAAAAAATGGCGTGTAAAAATATATGATTGAGCATGAGTAAAAACAAACATACCCGATAAAAAATGATTTTGACATTTGGTAAGCATGTGGCCCAAAGAGGCGTTGACCGCAAACGAGAGTCCGTAGAAGTAGAAAAAAAGTACACCACTAGTGGACAACTATTGCAACTCACTGAAACAAGTAATCACACATGCTACCATCACTGCATCAGGAGCAATTGAGTGCCATAGAGAGCACCGTGAAATGGCGTATTGCTGAACAGTCACTCTGGGCAAAATTGTTTCCATATTGCCCACACCGCCGCCAGGATACTGAAAATCGGGAGGCGATAATGTAGTACATCTAAAAAAGTGTTCAATGTTTGTGATCACTTATTCAACCAAATATGCAGTTTACTACCGACTACCGACCTAATGGTGACGGATACCATACAGAAAAGAAAGGACAAGACAAGTACTGTGGAAGGTACTTATCTTGTCCTTTCTTTTCTGTATGGTATCCGTCACCATTAGGTCGGCAGTCACCGACAATAAACTGCATATTTGGTTAAATAAGAGATCACAGGCATTGAACACTTTTTTAGATGTTCTACATTATCGCCTCCCGATTTTCAGTATCTTGGCGGCAGTGTAGGCAACATGGAAACAATTTTGCCCCGAGCGACTGTTCAGCAATAAGGCATTTCACGGTGCTCTCTATGGCATTCGATTGCTCCTGAATGCAGTAATGATAGCAGGTGTGATTACTTGTTTCAGTGAATTGCAAGAGTTGTCCACCAGTGGTGTACTCTTCTTCTACTTCCACGAACTCTCGTTTGTGGTCGACGCCTTTTTGGGTCACATGCTTACTAAGTGCCAAAATCACTTTTTTTCAAGTATGTTTGTTTTTACTTATACTCAATCATCTGTTTTTACATGCTATTTTTTACTCCATCCTCAATCATTTCATCTTTTCAGGTCTGACCACACTATTTGTGTTTGCGCTCAAGCGCAAGATTAACTGGGGCGCACGATGAGGTGTTTGCAGAATTTGTATGACGCATTCGGACACAGAAGGGCCATAGATTACTCAGACATGGTGATGTCTCTTTAATTCGGGCACATAACTAGTAATTATTTGCAGTAGCTTACAAAAAATTGACAAATGTCTTGATCTTGTATATCAGATTCTGTAGCCCATGTGGGCCCCACCACACGCGACCCGCGAGAGTTCACGAAATCCGGAGGAAAGAGTAGAGGGAGAAGGGCATTGCCAGCGAAGTTAGCGTCCGGGCACAACCCCAAACCCTTCTCCATTCCCCACGACCAAACTTCCCCGCCGGACGAGACAATGTTCGTGTGGAACAAACTGCACCCGCAGATACCAAAAATACCCAAGGGCAAACCCTTGACCATCTCCGGCGAATCCGAACCCTGTGTGGTCCAGTGCCCGAGTTTGCCGTTATAGCCCGGCCCAAACGTCCAACAAAAGCTTTCCGGAAGCTCGTTCGGCGATTTTCTCTTTGCTAAAAGAGCCGTGTGGGCCGCGCCGCATGCCATGTCATAGGCCTCCCAGGGGGAGTCCGAGTTGAATTTCTCGATAATTTTGGGGCTCGGCCGGCTTTCCTTGTCCCCCAATCCTAGCTGGCCATGGGTATTGCAGCCCCACGAGTAGCAGATCGGGTCCTTGCCAGCTGTCACTAATGCGATGACATGTTCGTTTCCACACGCAACCTTAACGACCGAGTGGCCATGGAAGTTGGAGAGAGGGAGTGGAGACCCGGTGCTGATGAGCAAAAATGTGATCTCGGGGGGTTCGTGGGCTTGGGAAGGGTTGGGGCAGCTACCCCATATCCATAGGGACCCAAGCTCGTCGATGGTGAGTGACATCATTCCTCCAGCTTCTACACACATAGGAAATCTGGAAGTAGTGCTATTAAGAAGGGCACTTTTAATTTATTTTTTTTATTTTTTTGCAAGTTTTAAATAATTATATAAGGGGTGAATTACAAACACTTTCTTGAAGTCTAGCCTAATTACACAAAGATAAAAATAGAGAAGATAGGAAATCAAAAGGAACTAGTTATTTTTATAAATTTACAAAATATTCTCTTGTACGACACAAAATTTTTTTAGGTGCATTCTTCATACAAATGTTCTGAAGTTTGATCTGTAAATTAGAAACGCCTGTCAAGGAAGTATTTTATACTTTCAAATGATAATTGAGATTCCTTTTAGCACACTATTAGATTGAGCCTCAGGGTGGTTCTTCATTGAAAAACACAATTGAGANAATTAATGATCTGGCAAAAGGCGATTCATTCTATAATTCTTCTCTCATCATCAGTTGAATTTAAAAAGAACTACTAGTCCATACCTTGAGTGGTTTGCGGCTCTTGGTATCATCATATTGAGCTGAAGAGTCAGGAGATCCCGATCGGGAGAAACCATTTAATAAGTGGGGAGTCAAACAATTTTTCCCAGTAACATCAATTTGGCCATCCACATCGTAGTGAAGTACTCATGTCTCAGAATAAAGTTACAAAAATAAGAAACAGAAAAGGCATAGAGGAAGTGTGGAGATATTTGATCACAACAAATTGAAATGAAGGATATAGATGTTGTAACCCTAGCCCCAGACCTTTCCATCATCTGCCAAAATGAAGTTGGAACTCGTAATCAAGATACATTATTATTCACAGGCTGCTGCAAACAATATTATTCATGACCACATGAACCTCCACATTGTAGCTTAAACAGCAGTAGGAGTATTTTCATATGAAATGAAGCTAATCACAATTTTTTGCAGTAACAAATTACAGTAAAAACAACAACAGTGGCAACAACAATCCAATCAAACATATGCATAACTTTATTTTACCGGTTGCAACATGAATATGTTTAATTCTTGCATTGAACTCAAAAAGTAGCATTATGATTCCACCACATGATATTTTACCTGTAAGAGAAGACTGTGGTAAGCCCCAGCAGCAATCCCTATAATCTTGAGAGTACCATAGAAGCTGACTCGGACAGGAAAATGCCGGTTTTCCTCCGAACCGGAGCCCAGCCGGCCGAACATCCCTCCTCCCCAAGAATACACTTTCCCATCACCTACGATTGCACTTTTATTAGCGATGTAAAACGACAGGTAAAAACGGAATGTGAGTGACAATAAACCTGTTAGAGCGAGAGTGTGAGCTTCGCCGACGGCAATCGAAATGATTCTCCGTGAAGCATCGCCGGTGTGTGTTGGATTTGGTGTGTTCACCATTTATGCCGGGCTAGGGCTAGGTACAAATGGAGTAAAGGAGGTAAGTAGGAGTGATTTATATATATAAAAAACACAAAAATCAAGTGGACAAAAATAAAATGAAAAAAATAAAAAAAATTCTGGACAAAATTCAAAAGTTCGTAACTAGTACTCATTTTTCAATGTCGAGTACCTACTTTGTACAAAGAAAAAAAGATGTGCAGGTTCCTAATGTACATGTTTTCTTCACATTATTACCAATTTTAGAGCATCTCCAATGCTCTAATGTTATTATTGAATAAATTATGACAAATATTATTCAATTAAATAGAGTGTGAACCATGTAGGAAAAATGTTAAATTCACAACTATGAAATTAAAAAATCATCTTCAATGCACAATATAGTCTATCTACAATATTATCCACTTACCAAATATTAAAATCTATATCTATATTAATATAAAGAGGTTGTTGAAAAAATACGAAAATAGTAACTTTGACTTAAAAAATTAATTGTTGACTTTCTAATATAAGCAATATCAATGAGCCCCACATGTCAACCAATTTAATCGGATTTTGGTAACAAATTTGATCGGATTTTGATAACAAATTTGATCTTATTTTGATGACAAATCTCGGATTTTGCAAATTTGATCTGATTGTAATAAAAAGTCTCGGATTTTGATATCAAATCTTTTAAGATATCGGTTTTTTTAGTAACAAATTTCAAAAAAATTTTGGATTGTTTGGAGTTTAATAATGCAGAAAAAAATCTCGAAATTTGATAAACGATACATATCAATATAAAAATATTATTTTTCAATCGATCCAAAAAGCCTTACCAAATTAAATTGTAACAAACTCAATTAATTTTGATAAAACCATTATGTCACATTGATATGTCACCTAATATTTAAAATAAAAATTTAATTGTTGACTTACTAATATAAGCAATATCAATGGGCCCCACATGTCAACCAATTTAATTGGATTTTGGTAACAAATTTGATCGGGTTTTGATAATAAATCTCGAATTTTGGTAACAAATTTGATCTTATTTTGATAACAAATCTCTGATTTTGTTAACAAATTTGATCTGATTGTGATAACAAATCTCGGATTTTGATAACAAATCATTTAAAATATTGGTTTTTTTTTTGTAACACACTTCATAGTTATTTACATATAATATACTGCCGATAATCTTTGATATTTCTCTTGGTAACAAATTTCACAATTTTTTCGATTGTTTGGAGTTAAATATTGCAGAAAAAATCTCGAGATTTAATAAATGATACATATCAAAATAAAAATATTATTTTTCAATCAATCCAAAAGCCCTTACCAAATTAAATTGTATCAAACTCCATTAATTTTGGTAAACATTATGTTACATTGATATATCACAATCTCCGAAAAAAAAATTAATTGTTGATTTACTAATATAAGCAATGTCAATGGGTCCCACATGTCACCTAATTTAATCAGATTTTGATAACAAATCTCAATTTTTGGTAACAAATTTGTTCTTATTTTGATAACAAATCTCAGATTTTGTTAACAAATTTGATTTGATTGTGATAACAAATCTTGAATTTTGATAACAATCTTTTAAAATATCGGTTTTATTGGTAACACACTTCATAGTTATTTATACATAATATATTGCCGATAATCTTGGGATTTTATTTTGGTAACAAATTTCATAATTTTTCCGGATTGTTTGGAGTTAAAAATTGCAGAAAAAATCTCGAGATTTGATAAATGATACATATCAAAATAAAAATATTATTTTTCAATCAATCCAAAAAGCCATAACAAATTAAATTGTAACAAACTCCATTAATTTTGGTAAACATTATATCACATTGATATGACACATAATATTCAAAATAAAAAATTAATTGTTGACTTACTAATATAAGCAATATCAATGGACCCCACATGTCAACAAATTTAATCGGATTTTGCTAATAAATTTGATCGGATTTTGATAACAAATCTCGAATTTTAGTAACAAATTTGATCTTATTTTGATAACAAATCTAAGATTTTGTTAACAAATTTGATCTGATTGTGACAAATCTCTGATTGTGATAACAAATCTCGAATTTTAATAACAAATCTTTGAAAATATCGATTTTTTTGGTAACACACTTCATGTTATTTACACACAATATATTGCCGATAATCTTTGGAATTTCTTTTGGTAACAAATTTCCCAAATTTTTCGGATTGTTTGGAGTTAAATATTGCAGAAAAAATCTCGAGATTTGATAAATAATACATATCAAAATAAAAATATTATTTTTCAATCAATTCAAAAAGCCTTACCAAATTAAATTGTAACAAACTCAATTAATTTTTGTAAACATTATGTCACATTGATATGACACATAATCTTCAAAATAAAAAATTAATTGTTGACTTACTAATATAAGCAATATCAATGGGCCCCACATGTCAACCAATTTAATTGGATTATGATAACAATTTTGATCGGGTTTTGATAACAAATCTCGGATATTTGTAACAAATTTGATCTTATTTTGATAATAAATCTCGGATTTTGTTAACAAGTTTGGTCTGATTGTGATAACAAATCTCGGATTTTGATAAAAAATAATTCAAAATATTGGTTTTTTTGGTAACACACTTCATAGTTATTTACACACAATATATTGCCAATAATCTTTGGGATTTATTTTGGTAACAAATTTCATAATTTTTTCGAATTGGCTGGAGTTAAAAATTGCAGAAATAATCTCGAGATTTGATAAATAAGACATATCAAAATAAAAACATTATTTTTCAATCAAACCAAAAAGGCTTACTAAATTAAATTGTAACAAACTCTATTAATTTTGGTAAACATTATGTCATATTGATATGACACATAATTTTCAATAATTGATAAAATCCGAGACACATGTAACACATTGCACATTTTTTGTTTTTGTTTTAACAAAAACGGATAAACATATTTTTTGAAATCGATCGTAACCACACTATTTAGGAAAATAAATCCTACTCAACTTAAAAACCTGAAGTAAATCAATTTTGAATTTATATTTTATATCAGTATTTTATTGATTTATATAATCTATATTATCCAAACCACTAATGGTTGTTACAAATATATATTTAGAAACAAGTAACTACTCGGATAAGGGTTTGAATAATAGGATTGATAAGCGTGATCTTATTTCTTAAGCTTATCCGATCGTTTTTAACTTGTATATATCTGCTCTATGGGTCTGTGTAATGAGACACGATTGGTTGTGACAAAGCTATCCACTCACGTTCTCGAGTGTAAGATACTCACTGGCGATCATGCAAGTGATAAAGTGTTGATTCCAATAATGGCTCTATTTTCTTCTGATGTTAGAATTCCTTTCAAGTTTCAGCGTCGGCAGTTTCCCATTATGGTTTCTTACGCCGTGACTATAAATAAGAGTCAGAGACAATTATTTGCATGAGGGCTTATTTTTTAAGAAACCAGTATTTTGTCATGGCCAGTTGTATGTTGTTGTCTCCCGTGTCACAAACATAAATAGTTTGAAAATCCTAATTTGTGGCGACGATTACGTGTCAAATAATCAAACCATGAACGTTGTATATAAATAAATGTTCAATAATATATATATTTTATTTTCATTATATTTATTAATTATTAATGACACGATCTTTCCTTTAGTAAGTACTTTGAATTTTAATTGAAAATTGCTTCTTAACACGGATGGGGATAATAAACCTCCATGCATCGCACGGGTACTGTACTAGTTTTAATAAGAAGTAAAAAAAATAATTAAATAATTTGAAAATGGTAAGAATAATTCTCTCTCTTCTTTTTATTGGCTAACTAGATTGTGGATGAGAATATGGATGAACCACATTCTTCTTTACATTGTTGACATTAATTATGTCCACATCACCACAACATTTGTGATTACATTATGCATTGGAGGATGAAAAGTTATGATATTACTAAATATTTTGATGTGGCATGTAATTTACCACAACAATATTTGAGCATTGAAGATGCTCTTATACAATATAAGTACTCATTTTCCAGTAGTTAGTACCTACTTTGTAGAAAGAAAAAAATGATGTTAAGGTTCTAAGGACGTTANTTTAAGGAAGTTAGTTTTTTTTTTTTAAACTGATCCCAGTTTCTATTCGTAATATTACAACTTATTCTTCTACTCAGTACCTACTTTGGTCAACGAAAATGAATCACTTCAATTTTTGTCAATGTTTGTGAAATTAGTACAATCATAGAGTTATGAAGTACTCATTTTGTGGTGGTTCAGTACCGGATATCGGGTCTTCAGTACCAATTCCAACAAACATAAAATAAGCACTGAATTTTGGTCTTAAATGATGTTAATATTCCTTAAAATCACCCACGCATTAGTATCTATGAGTTTATGAATATGTTTGGTTAAGTTTTCGTGTCATGTGATCATGAACTCAACACACTAATGAACAAACACTACTAATACACTTCATCTCATTGAATGATATACCTTATCTCGTTGATGATCATACATAACTACTATCCATTCCACCTATGTGTTTTAAATTCGACTATTTTTCCACCAAATCATGCGTGAGTGATCCACGTGTGTTTGTCCCATTTTTGTTGCATTTTTCGTGCTCGTTTTGCTTTTCTTTATCCCCCGTTTTAGATTGTTTCTTTCGTTTTTAGTTTGTTTCGTGTTTTATTGTGTGTTTTTCTTTATTTTGAGTCTTTAGGCATTTTTTCGTTTATTTTCCCGGTTTTCTTCGTGTTTTGTCATTTTTGGTGTGTAGGTCGGGAGCTTCGGGCGAATTATCTCTTCAGGAAAAGTTGGTTTCTAAAGCACAATTGGATATATGGGTTCGTTAGAGACGCGTAGCAAAAAACGGAACTCAATTCCGAGTTCGGACGAGCCCAAATGAGCCCGAAACATAAAATGGCGCAGAGCAGTCCAAAGTCGTGACTCGCGAGACAAGAGTCGCGACTCGCCAGAGAAAAG